CCTCCAGAGCCGTAGTTGCCGCCACCTCCAGAGCCGTAGCCGCCACTGCCCCCACCTCCGGAGCCGTAACTGCCGCCTCCAGAACCATAGCCGCCGCCGCTGCCGCCGCCTCCGGAACCGAAACCCCCGCCTCCTCGGCCACCACCTCCACTGATGGTGGTGTGGCTGGTGTTCACAGCTGCAAGGGGACACTCAGTTATCGTCAGCCCACCTCCCTTTCCAGCCCAGCAAAACCTGCACGTGCCCCCCGGGAAAGCGGCTTGTACTTACACACGCTCACGTTCGGGGTACACTCTCCAGACATCCTGTAGGAGGAAGAAAAGCAAATCCCTCATGACTCTCCAGCTGCCGAGGCAGAGATTCTCCCCATTTGGGGCTCCTCCTACCCACTTGATCTGAAACCCGATCCAGTCCCCTTGGCCTCCCAAACTTCTTCTCAGTGCAAACACAGCAAGAAATCTCCATGGAAGATAAGACAAGAGTCTTGAAGCGAGTGCCATTGACCTTTAGGCCAGATGACATCTGAGCCAGCCCAGATGGAGGATAAATTATTCCTTCTCAAAGCACTTCATAGAGATGCGATAGCCCTCCAAACAAAGTTTGGGACCCAAAATGAGACCAAGTCTTTCCTCCTGCACCCTGTACCTCTCCTCTCCCCCTACCCAGGACAAGCTGCAGCCCCTTGGCTGCATGCAGGATAGCAGTCAGCCTACAAGGGAAGAAGCACCATAAGAAATGGCCAAACTGCCCAGGGTTCTGTCCTCACCTGCTTTCCTCTCCTTCCAGAAGGGTTCTGTAGGTGGCGATCTCCATGTCCAAGGCCAGTTTGGTGTTCATCAGCTCCTGGTAGTCACGCAGCAGGCGGGCCATGTCCTCCTTGGCCTTCTGCAGGGCGTCCTCTAGCTCGGCCAGCTTGCCCTGGGCATCTTTGAGGGCATTCTCACCACGCTGCTCGGCATCACTGATGGACTGCTGCAGCGTGGAGATCTAAGAGAGGAGAAGCTCATATGTTACACATTGTCCTATCGCCTAATCCCACCCTTGCCTTCTTATCTCAGATTCCTCTGTCCACCTCAGTGAGGCTGCTACCCTGGGTCCAACAGAATCACAACAGTTTTAAGTCAACTCATGGCTCTGGATAACACATCACTGCCTCTGGATAGCTTGTCACTGCGTTACTTCCTTAAAAGCCCTTAAAGGGAAGGCAACAGCCTCTCCTGGCCCTGACTTGAAGCTTCTCTACCCCTTACACACCTGACATTCTTCTAAACTCCTACCCTGAAACCTCCTGGCCGCCTTTCCTCTCATTCACCATGTCTTTGCATCATGAGCTAGATCACTCATGACCATCACATCCATTTCTCTGCCAGGTCATTTTCACAAGCTTCCCTAAAGAGAACCCAGCACAAAAGCTCAATTGTGGAAACCAGAATGATCACCAAAGGCTTGGAGCAGATTGCAAGATTCAACACTAGGAAAGTGTCCTCCAGTTACCTGAGCCTCCCTCCCCAATGCCATATAGCTATAGCTGAGCAGTAGAAGGAGGGAACAAGTACCTGCTTCTTGACACTATCAATTTCAGATCGCAGTCTCTGGGCCACCCGATTCAGCTCTGAAATCTCCATCTTTGTACTTTTCAGATTGTCCCCATGCTTGCCAGCAGTTATCTGGAGCTCTTCATACTAAAGATGGTGGATAAAGTCAATTAGATGTGGCAGAGCATACCGTGGCTCACACATACAAATATAAGAGAAAACACAGGACAGCAAGACAAGACATTTCAGGAAAACTGGCTAGACATTCGGCTCATTCACCTTGGTCTGGTACAGCGCCTCAGCCTCAGCCTTGCTCTTCTGGGCAATCTCCTCATACTGAGCTTTGACCTCAGCGATGATGCTGTCCAGGTCCAGGCTGCGGTTATTGTCCATGGACAGGATGACATTGGTTTCGCTGATTTGAGTCTGCATCTGGGACAGCTCCTGCAAGACATAATAGTTCAGTGACTCTTACAGTGTTAAAATAAAACACAACTTAGACAGAGGGAGGAGTCAGGAGATGGAAGATATATCTTTGTTCTTCTGGATAGTGATGGGTGCAGGCTCAGAGGCTCTTCATTTGGGTAAACATGGTCGAAAGCAGAGGACTTACTGCCTGGTAGAGCACTGTGAGGAAATCAATTTCCTGCTGCAAGTTGTCAACTTTGGCCTGAAGGTCCACCTTAGTCATATAAGCAGCATCCACATCCTAGAGGAACAATGGACATCGTGAAGTCATGTTCTTTCCAGGGCAAGTCCTTCTCATTAGGTGTAAGGGGCCTCTCCAAGTAGAACAAGCATTTGGAGTCTCCTCCACACCTTCCTTCTCCAGGCGGATCACAATCCCTAGACCGCCCCACCCCTTAGAATCACAATCACAGGACAGCTCGCCTGAGTCGCTGAGAACTTGCCTCCCTACCTCCTCCATGAAGGCCTGAGAGAGCTGGAGAAGCAAATAGCCTGGATAAGCCCAGGTCCATGATAATGTCGGGGGCAAACTCTATTCGGCTATTCATCAGGCCCCCACCAGGTTCTCCACATCATGACTTCCTTCTGCTTAGTAATTGGAGGCCCTCTTACATTCTTTATTTCAGATGTGAGGTCCATTCTACAGATTCGCTCACCTTCTTGATGGTAACAAATTCATTTTCTGCATTTGTCCGCTTGTTGATCTCGTCCTCATACCTACAAGGAAATCAGAGGGATTTCGATATTTGGAGAAGGTGAGACCTGAAGTTCAGCTTTCCCAACTGAGATTGGCATTAGCTGTCATTGCCTCCTGTTATTAGCCTAGGACAGCTTGGCCACCCCTTCCTCCTGAGCAACAAAACTACTAAGCTGTTTCCAGCTTCTAAGAAGAGGAAGAATTCTGAAAATGCCAAATTAATTGGCTTCTAACCTAAGAAAAGATATCACTACATATTGTCTTAGCTTAAGACTCATAACCTTAGCTTGCCACTTTCAGGAAATATTTTAGAACACAAGTCAGGGATTGCCTGGCCAGTCTTCCTTACTTGTGCCGGTAATCTTCCACCAGGTCTTGCATGTTCTTCAATTCCGAATCCATCCTAGACTGGTCATTCTTCAGTTGGTCCACTCTCCTTCTAAGATTGTTGATGTAGGACTCAAAGTAGGGTTCTAAGCTGTGGGTCCGAGTGGAGGTGTCTACCTGCTGCAGCAGCTCCCATTTTGTTTGCAGCACCTGGTTCTGCTGCTCCAAGAACCGCACCTGAGAACACAAGCCGCCATTACTGACTGATGCAGAAATGGAGTCCACTGGCCACTGAGTGCCATAAGCTACCCCACAGTGAGACCCATGCCTCATTTGGAAAAGAATTTGTTCTTTCAAGTCCTGTTTTCCTGGCCATGGTAGAGAAATAGGAAGAAGAAGATCAAGGTAGCATCATTTTTTTATAACAAAATCTAACTCACTGTTAATTCACAGAAGCTTTAATTTCCTGAGAAGGGTAATTATTATACTGTTGCAGCTAGAACTTTCAAAGGAAGTAACTAGACAAATACCAAACAGCAAAGCCCTATATAAAATTACTGCAATTACACTTGAAGTGGTTACATGATACTTAAGAGATTTGCCTTTCAACCTTTTTAGGTAGATTGCCATAAACATTGGTATGCATTCTGTAAGCATTCACACATTCAGAGGTATGTTGGGGAAATCCAAAATAGAATTTGAAATCTATTGTGGATAACTTTGAGTTGACATTATTGATGATTAAGCAAAAAATAAGAAATGGTTTACATGTTTTTCCAGAGCAGATACTCAGAGTAAAGTATAAAAAAGAAACTTGTACCAAGGTAACATTTTCAGAGGGCAGAGCTTGCCTCCTGGAAGCAAAAGATGTTTGGTGCTGACTTACTACATCCTTTCTGCTACAATATCACAGTGCACTCTCTTCACCCTCAACTCCTTTTTTATGGTTAGGAAGACGTTTCCAGAACTCTCATTTGCACCCTAGAAAGCTGAGTTAGCCCTATTTCTATTGCCTTCATTCACCATATGTAAGTCCCAATTCAGCTCAAGAGCTGAATGAAAAGACACTTTAAGGTGATGTCACATTGACCCACACTTATGTAGCCCACGACCTCTTTGTTCAAGAGAGAGTTTAGTCATTAGAATCATTCACAAGAATACTTCCAACATATCTCCTAGAAGACAATTCCACAAAATATCCAAACAGAAACTTGAGGCTGAAACCCAAGCAATCTCAAATGGACCAAGAGCAGCCCTCCACATGTGCCCTGAGCAGATAAACTCACCTTGTCAATGAAGGAGGCAAATTGGTTGTTCAGCGACTTGATTTGCTCCCTTTCTTGAGTCTTTACTTTTTGGATCTCAGGGTCAATCTCCACATTAAGGGGTTGCAGAAGGCTCTGGTTGATGGTGACTTCCTGTATGCCACCAGGGGGGCAGACAGGCCCAAAACTGCCTCCACCAAAACCGCCTCCACCAAAACCGCCTCCACCAAAACCACCTCCACCAAAACCACCTCCACCAAAACCACCTCCTCCAAAACCACCTCCACCAAAACCACCTCCACTGCCAAAACCTCCATAGCCGCCGCCACCAAAACCACCACCCCCAAAGCCACCACCACCATAACCACCACCAAAACCACCACGTCCACCTCCTCTGGCCACGCTTATGGAGATACTCTTACTGCCACCAAGGTTGACAAGGCTTCGACTTCCAAAACCACCGCCACCACCACCACCTCCACATCTTCCCCCTGAAAATCTCCCACCACCTCCCCCGCCGTGGCGCACAGAGCTGCTAGTGGTCTTGCGTTGGAAGCCGAACACTCCGGCAGAGCCAGAGCTGAAGCCCCCTCCGCTCCGGAACCCAGACCTAGAACTAAAGTTTCGATTCATGCTGCCTTGGAGAGAGTTGGAGCAAAGTCGGGAAAGGAAAGGAGCTCACACTCCTCTACCCCAAGCACAGAGACTGTCCCTTATATACAGGGAGTGCATTTGGGCTTGGTCCTCGAGTCAGCGGGACGCAGAGCCTGTCAAGGGTTTGGTTTGCCTGCGGCCATACAAGATTTTTACGAGCCTCAACAATACGATAAACACTACACACCTAACTCCCAGGATAGCTCTCAAAATTGCTGTGTGTGCAAGATCGATTGTGTGGTAATCGTTTTATCAGACAAAATCTCTCTTCAAGTGCTTGTGACTTTGGGAAAATAGGACCCTGCATTTGCCACCTGGTGCTTCTTGGTAGGATTTCATAACCTCCTGTCACAGAGATATGTATGTCCCCATTCTTGCCTTGCCCTGGTAAGCTGCTAAGTGCACTGTCCCCTCAGGCCTGGCAGGGGCAACTCCTCACATGCGAATCGGAGGAGGAACTCTCCGGCCCATTTCTGAGATTGCTCTCTAGAGCCCAGAGCTCACCGAGTCATATCCCCTGACCTCAAATAAGAGCTTTAATACGTGAAAAATTAAAAGAACTTATTTTTATTACATGTGCATTAATATTATAGGAAGAGATACTGGCAGAGAATATGATGGATGGGCAGGTGCTCTGGAAGGGCCCGAGGAAAAGACATGTTCTTTTCTAAGTTTGCTGGTTGTTCCTTTTCCTCAGAGACAGGCTGGGGCAGGAGATGGAGATGCCAGCAAAAGGAAAGTGGTGCAAATGGAGGGCATGCCACTGCCAGTGGGAAAAGCCAAGAGAGCTGGGAGGTAACGGGTAGAACCTAGTCCATACATTCTGTAAAGCAAAGGGATGGAAGTGAGGCTTCACAGGGGCTTGGAGCCTGACACCAGATGACATGGAGAGACGACTGTAGATTTGGGGGGAGGACAATGATGCGAGTCTGGAAAGCCTGATCCGAGAAGTGAAAACTGTTTCCAGACAATAGTAACAGCAATAGTAACAGGTATGATAAATAGCTAAGATGTATGAAAAACTGGCGCAGTACCAGGCACTGTTCTACAGCTTTTATCTGTATTCCCTATTTCATTTTCACAACTCTGAGACAGATGCTATCAAGCTATCCGTTTTTAAAACAGGGAAACTGAGGCACCAAAGCTCCAATTTACAAAGGTGGTAAGGGGCATAGCGGGGAGTTGAACTGAAGATGCTGAGTGACAGTGTGCGGGATCCTAACCAGTGTGTTGTACGACACCACGGCAATGACTTTGGGGTGTGTTGGCTGTTGCGTGTAAAGCCAGGCGACACAGGCAGCTTCCTGCCACGGAGAGCTCCAAAGGCAGGAGGCCCATTCTATCCCTTCGAATCCTTGGTCCCAGGCACATGCAAGCACTTGCAAAGTGCCTCAACTCATTCACAGAAGGGGGGATTGCAGGCGCAGAGCTCAGTGGGGAGATTTCGCTTCTATCCAGGTGCAAGAGTGTCCAAACTGCATAGTGGCCAGCCAGGAAGTCGCAGGGGCCCTCCTGGAGGAGCACCCCTTGATCAATCTTAATGGACAGAAGTGGGGTTGGGATCTGGAATGACCTGAGCCCCCCATAGACTTCCGTTCTGAGACTCCTTCGAAGCCCAGTCTGCTCCCCACACTTGCACATGAACACAGAATTGAAAGACTCGGTGAGAAGCCAGTGCGAAGTTCAGTGGGCTCTGCGCAGCTCTGAGTGGTAAATCACAGGCCTGTGTGGGAGGTCCCCACTGTGGGATACAAGACACAGGGGAGAAGACCCTCCGGCCGGGAGCCCTGTGCTCCTAAAGCAGCACAGCTGGATGTCAGCCCTTCCCAGCCCCACCTCACCGCTGAGCCTTGTCCCTTCCCTTCTCCCACAGGTTTTGCACACACCCTCCTCCAGAAAGTGCCCCTCACCTCTCCACTGGTCCCCCTCTCGCCCCTCATCTTTGTGATGCTGTTGTCTGGGACTCGGTTCTAACACTAACATCTGTGGGCTGCTAAACCTGTCATCTATCTGGGGAATGAGTAATTCAGATCTTGTTCCTAACTAGGAATAATGGGACCTGGGACGGTCTTGGCATGGTAATGACTGTTGCCTAATCACCTCCTGACGGGCAATCAAAATTCTTCTAGTTCAGCACACTCCCTTGTGAGACATGTCCCTCTGCACATTGATTCCTTCTAGCAGTTTGGAGGGCTGTGCCCCTGTGTGTGCATGTGTGTGTATGTGTACATGTGTGTGTTTATTCTCTCGCCTCTGCCAGCCAACAACAGATCTCTCGGGGACTCGTGCTTCCATCCCCAAACCGAGAAACTGACAGTAAAAGCCAAGAGGTGGACAGTCAGACAATTGATAGACAATTTACAGAGCTGCAGAACTTACTGTAGGGGCTACGGTGAGGAGGGAGAGTCAGAGGGAAAAGAAGAAACGAGAAGGTATAAAAATCACCATCAGCTGACATTTTGTGCACTTCACCTGACCGAGCGCATACACCAATACTATCCCCACGGGAACCACGAGAACGAGGCAGTCAGACTGTTTGGACCCATTTTACAAAGTGGAAAACCAAGGCGCAGGGAGATGAGGGGACTTGCTTAGACACTCCAGCCCGGAAAACACACATCTGGGACTAGAACCCGAGTTTCCTGGTTTCAGTTCAAGTGTTCTTCCTTCTAAACCTGAGAAGAGGCTCAAGGACAGGCAAGTGGAACAGGTTCCTGTACATGAGTGTCAGACGACGACAGAATATTCCCATCTACAGGGACTCAAAGACCATACCATCTAACCCGCCGATCAAACACGTGAGAAGGCAAACCCAACGAAGTCAAAACATGTGTCCAAGTCATGAGATCCATTCCTGGAAATCATCCAGTTTCTAAATCAAACTCCCATTCTGTTCCCACGGCTCACTTTTGCGGGAACCCAGCGGGTCTGGAAGCTGCGACACCACCAGCCATCCCAGCTCATCCTTCCCTGCCATGTCCCCAGGACCACGGTCAGTGTGCAGTGATAGTAAAAGGCAAATGTGGGAGAAAGGTGTGGGCCACGCATCCTTCCTCCTGGCTTCCTTGTGGGCCCTGCATTTATAAAATAAAAAGAGCATGAAAGAGGAGAGAGGCAGCCACATCCACAGGCACCGACTATGAGCTAGGAGCCGCGTCTCATCTAAACATTACCCAAGGTCCTCACCACGGTCACTAGGATTAACCCCATTTTAAAGAAGAGACAATTTAGGTCCATGGAGGTTAAAAGACATGCCCCCAGCTGGGAACTGACAAGTCAAGCCTGTCAAACTTTGAGAACATGCCTGCCTGTATCCCAAAGGCCTCCTCGTGTCATGGGCCTGCCCCCAGGGCCTACAGGTTTCCTGCCACCCACTCGCTGAGCCTCACGTCTTGACCTTCCCACTCCCATGCTTTACCCAAACCATTCAACCCTCGCCCTCTTCCTCTGTTCCTCTCCATCTGACGAACCCACTCACACTCTTCTCTCCCTGATGGGTCTTCCAGCCTGTCAGTGACCCACTTCAAACTTCTACTCATAGGCAAGCTCTGGGACCACCCACGATCTCCATTCCTGAGCATTTGGGCCTGAATCTGGATTTGTCCATCAGGCCTTGAGAGCAAATGCCTACATCTCCCTGCTCCGCCAGGCAGTGGACAAGGCCCACTCTTCCAGGGAGTTTTCCTTGATTAAAGCCACTCGGCTGCTCCACTGGTTTCTTTTTCTAAGCTCAGTTGCTGCCAGATTCAAGTACATATTCACATGTGTGTGTATGTGTGTTTGCCAGTCCCTCAATTGCTCTGGAAGACTTTTGAAAGCAAAACTAAGTCCTCTGTGTCTTTGGATGCCCTCCTCGAACGCCAATTGCTCCAGCTTCCCACACAGTCCCCTGCACCTGAAGGGTACCCCCATTCGTGCTGGATATCAGAGTGCCAGAGCTCTTCCAATCCCGAGGACCCACACACATACCCCGGAACCGATCACTGGGATGAAGCTGCCACAGGCAGACTGTGGGTGTGGGCAGGAGCAGGGGTGGTGATGTTTTGATAGCTTTTTGCAGGATGGGACTGAGTTGAAGAGAGACATGCAATGACAAGCCATCCAGCCCTGCAAGACTCCACCAGGGACAGGAGAAGGAAATTTCAGGGGAGTGGGGAAAGCTGAAGCCTGGGGGGCATAAAGGAGAGTCACAGACAATGGGGAGGCGGGGTGAGATGTGGAAAGCCGGCAGCCAGCAGAGGAGGGGCCGAGGTTTTTTATGCAGAAGGAAGAGGTCCCCAACTAGGGATGCCTGCTCAGGACAGATAGAAGGGAAGGAGGCCCCCAGTGGCTTGCTAGCAGTGCTGGAGCAGAATAGAGGCCAGGAAGGAGGAAGCCAAAGAGGAACATGTAGGAGAGGGGAGGTGGATGTTGTCTGAGCTATGGAGTCAGCCAGAGACCCACTCTTGACTGCAAATTTCTAGCTGTGTGACTCTGGGTAGGTCACTTGCCCTCTCTGAGCCTGAGTTTCCTCATCTCAAAGAGGGGACTGCATCTACCTTAGAGGGAAACCAAAGTGTAGTAGATGCTAGATAGAGGAAGAGGGAAGGATTCTCTCTTACTATTGCATTTGGAAGGATCCAGAAAATGATATAACAATCAGGAAAAACTTTGGAACAAGACCCTGTTTCACTGGAAACTAAAAAGACCTGGAAAGGCAGCTTAAGTTTTTGCAATAAGGTCATCTTGTGGGTGAAAGCCTTGGGGGAGGAAGGGAGCATAAGTCTATAACAAGGAGGGTAGGGCCCATCACACACAGGAGGGAATGTTGAGTGCAACTGCAGCCCAAGGGGGCTACACTAGCTAGGAATTACTGTCACTGTGGAATACCTGTTCTGCAGGGTGGGGACAAATTCCCATGCTGAGCATGTTGGGACAGGTGTGGAAGCTGGAACACACCCTCAGAGCCCCCAGAAGCCCTTCCAGCCGGGCACTGGGAC